GTATGTGTATGTATGTATGTAATTATGTATGTATGTAATGTATGTATGTAATGTATGTATGTATGTATGTAATGTAATGTAATGTAATGTAATGTAATGTAATGTATGTATGTATGTATGTGTGTATGTATGTATGTATGTAATGTATGTATGTATGTAATGTATGTATGTAATGTAATGTAATGTAATGTAATGTAATGTAATGTATGTAATGTATGTAATGTATGTAATGTATGTAATGTATGTAATGTATGTATGTATGTATGTAAGTATGTAATCTCTGTAATGTATGTAATGTATGTAATGTAATGTAGTGCAATGTAATGCAATGTAATGCAATGTATGTATGTAATGTATGTAATGTATGTAATGTATGTAATGTATGTAATGTAATGTAATGTCAAGTAATGTAATGTAATGTAATGTAATGTATGTATGTATGTATGTATGTAATGTAATGGAATGTAATGTAATGTAATGTAATGTAATGTATGTATGTATGTGTGTATGTATGTATGTATGTAATGTAATGTAGTGTAATGTATGTATGTAATGTATGTATGTATGTATGTATGTATGTATGTATGTATGTATGTATGTATGTATGTATGTATGTTTGTATGTATGTATGTATGTATATTTCATATATTTATATATACACAGTACAGTATATGCATGTATTCTCCATTTTTTCTGGGGCCCTGGCCAAATCCAAGACATGTCCTGTCCATGTCCAGCTCCGACGAGGCCATGTCAGATCGCTGCGATTCGGAAGATGATGCCTGTGAAAAAATATTAAGGCGGTCGGCGGTCCCCCCAAAAAAGTGATAGAACACAAGAAATGAATACTTTGAATATGTTCTATAGTTTTGATAAATTTTGAGATTTTGATATACCATTGTGAAACATAAAATATTTTCCCAGCTATTTTGATATTGGAGCATGGCGAATGTTTATGGATGCCATGCGTGGCTGTGCCACGACGAGCTTGCTCGGCAATGTGTCAAAAATCAGGGAGGCCCGGTGACATCCATGTTGGGAAAATATGGCCATTTGATTTCCAACATGTTTTTCCACCATTTAACATAGCCATGGTATAGATGGCCCATAGAAATAGATGGTTTACCTATTAAAAATTGTGATTTTCTATGGCTATGTTAAATAACCAGATGGTAGATTTATCAATCACAAGTTGTTTCAATCGATTTGTTAATCACAAAAAAAAACAATGAAAAGGAGGGCAGTTGGCCGTTTTTTCTGGCCAATATTCTCCAATATTCCAATTGAATGATCAATGGCATTCCATGATCATAACAGTTGGCTATTTTCCAGCCATGCCACGGCCAAGTTTCTCTGTTAAGGAGGTGGTATCCACCCGGTCCATCATTCGCACCACGGACCTAGAGATCCTCCGTGGCATCACGTTACGGGAGTCCCTCCACCGGGCGGGCGCCTTGTGGCGAACGAATCCCAGGCGGGTGGTGCTTGGTGGTCAGATTGGGGGATGGTGTACACAACCCATTGATGGTGAGTTTGGGGATAAATTGGATCAATTCCTGTTGGCTTTACCACACTATATAATACTATATATATATATATGTTTATGAATGTTTATAATACCGCTATAGGGTGTTGATTTATGGGATGTAACTCTGGTATTAATGATGGTTTATGAATGTTTATGATACCCTATGATACCCTCCAACCCAAATTCACTTGGACCCTGAAGATGTTCCATGTCTCGTGGATGGTTTTCAGAAATGGGTCTATGTTCATGAGGAGGGTATATCGAACTACTCGGGGTTACAGCAAGAAATGGTTAACCCATGGAGCGCCACCTTGAACCCAGGAGACTTCGGCAGGATTGACAATAACTTGGAGCATAAAAAAGCATCACGTGGAACCCCAAAGGAGTCATCAATGAGAAAATTGGAGAAAATTGATGAAAATTGGTCAAGTCTTTTTGTTGGGTCCTCATTTAGACGTATATATACGGTAGTTGTTTAAGAAGGCATGCTGGTAGCTTCCAGGCTAGGCCCTCCACACCAACTCGCGTAAGATGATGGATGGTCACGAAATGTCACGAAATGACACGGTTTGTGTTTGCCACATCGGCCTGCTTTCCCGAATGCAAGCACAGAAGTCATTGGTCATGTTCAGTAAACTTATTTATATATATATATGTATATTATATTTATGTGCATGGATGCATACAGTACACGTATACAGATACAAGGATCCAAGGTACGTGACAGCCTGCCAGGCAGCTGACGCCAAAGGCACAAGAAGAATGCTACCAGCGATCCAGGTATGTCGATCATTTGGAGCCTTGGCTTTGACTGGCGACCGTTTGGCCATGTGTCAAGCACTATGTCCGAAAATAGATCAAGATACCCTCTGGTAATTTAACAAAGCTATTGAAAGTGATTGAAAGTGGCCATTTGCAGTTGATGTATATATATATGTGTGTGTGTATACCCATCAAAAAATGATGACGTTCCAGTTTGGTATCGTAGTTTACCCAAATGTTGGCAACATATATAATATAAAATGAAGGTATCCAGCCCAAGGACTCCAAAGGACTGAACCGCCTTCTGATTAACGATCCATTGGGGCGGCTCAGCTTCGAGCCATTCCCCGAAAATTGCACGGAGAGAGATTGACACTGTCGCCGATATCGCCACTGTCCAATACTGTACTAAGGCTGAGGCTTATGATAAGAAATACGTGTTTAGGGTTTAGAGTCTACAAATTTCTTAGCCACGACCCTCTGGTTAAGAAGTATGGGCGGCAAATAGACTCTAAACATCTCTAAACTTGGTTTCTTAATCCCACCAACTTTCCTCCTTTCGTCTGACAATTTAATCTAATTACCTCTTTTGAGCTCTAGCAGCAGCAGCAGTAGTTAGCGGTTCTTTGCCAGTTTAATTCATTTCAATATCCTGCTTCCGATGGCGTAGGCCTCAGGATTGGCACTATCCCCGGAAAAGTTCAATCTTCACCCAGACCCGTTTGAAACGCGCTATTGATTTGGGAGTCCGCGCAACCAGCTGTGAAATGACATTCTTATGGTATCTCAACATGTGGGGATCAACCGAGATTATATAGATGGATTTATGTCCGGTAGCCCCAGGACCGGCTGAGAACATAGATATAGAATGATATAGATACATACATACTACCAAAATAGTGAATTATGAGAGTCTAAGTCTAAACACAATACATGGCTAAGAAGTCCAGCCCCTTGATGTCTTTTTCAAGGAATTTTGGCACAACACTGGCATTCTAGTTGGGATGATTCCCTAACCGCAAGCACCCATTTTTTACAAGACTTTCTTATACAGTGCTTGCGCTGTGCAAAAAGGAATGGTGACAGAAGCACATGTGGTGACGACATAAGTCTTCTCCCCAAAATAGAGTCTAAGTAAATTACCTTCCCCAAAAGAATAAACTGAACTTCTTGTTTAAAAAGATTTCTTAACAAACTCCCCGACTGCATGCACATATTGATGCGCTGTATATATATATATATATACATGCATACTATATTCACATATATATAGATATATACACATACTTACCTCCCCAGGGTCCAGAACCGGATCCTTGTTTGACAGCGGCGTAGACGAGGACATCTTCATCTCCCACACATGGCAGTCCAGTGGCATCTCTAAGACCTTGGCCTGATACGCTGGGAACGGTTACCAGCGTCAGTTGCAGGAACCAATTCGGGTGCAAAACGGAGAGAACACCACCCACACCACCCGAAAATCTGTATTTCATGATTTGTTTCATGGCATGGTGGTGTACATCATTCATACTTGAGGGAAAACCAGTCCATTGAATTCCCTTGCATGCTTTGAGTTTTAAATCTATTTTTTTGATGTACACTGCCAGTAGCCAACCCTTATATAGCTGGTCTTGGTTGTTCCAAATTCCATCCATTTTTGCCAAGGTCGAAGTGATGCCAAGTGGATTTGGTTTTTATTATCCAGCTTCCATGAACCCACCCGAAGGATACAAGATTATGGGCAAAAACCCGGGCAACCTGGTCTTCACATCAAAACAACTGGCAAAATATGGTATCATAATGTATCATATGTTTTTAACCCATGGCAGTATTCCATTACATCTCTATACAGTTGATAATTTTAGCTGTTGATAGACTTGGTTCATGTCGATTTTAGCACACAAACCGATGGTGGGGCCGGCTGGTGGTCTCCATCATATTGCGGGAGCGATCCCAAACGCGAGTGTGCCAGCGCAAGCAAAGTTTATTACTCTCTATTACACGCTCCATGTGTGTAACGTAGCAACAAACTGGTGTGCAAGTGTAAGCGGACGCTATTGCCCCACCCCATGTGTAACTAGCATCAGGTATACGTGTGTGCGCAACCAACAAAAACACAAAGCTCGCGCAAGTGCCGTATTAGAGCTGTAGGCATAAACATGTTGTTTTTCAAAGTATGAAATACCGTACGTGACGCTACACGTTTGTGTGTGTGTGTCGGTGTGTGTGTGTGTACTCTTGCTACTGGGAAATCCACCATGTGTTGAGTTACCCTCTTGTAGGAAATCCACATGGTTTGCTGGGAAATCCCCCCATTCGTCCGAGGACTTGGTCCCTTCTTTTGCAAAGTGGATGGCAGAATGCAGCCGGTGGCTGGCTCCTTGGTGTGGCGCTGGCCTTTGTGCTGTGTGCAACTGAGACCTTACCACTCCCCTTCAGCCTGGTAGTGCCTTTGGAACCTTAGCTGCGGCTTCAGTTCTACCGGGAGACAGCTGAATTGTATGACCAATTTGAAGATATAGAAACCACACATAGAACAGTTGGAAACCTGGAAATATAAAGTACATATGGTTTATATATAACATCCTGAAAACACTTTTCTATGTTGTTGGGCCTTTCTATAAGTTTGAGTTTGACAAATTTTCCGTGATATGGGGCGAAAAAACCATCGTTAACTGAGCAAACTTAAAGGCTTTGGGGCGAAAACCAACCAACAATTTTTCTGACCAATGTGGGCCTGGAATTCCGGGGGCTCCGACAGTCATCCGACAGTCCAAGATCCCATGTTCTCCAGAATCACCGTCCATGAACAGATATGACTTATCATGACTTATCTGTACTTATTAATATATTAATAGATTAATATGACTTATCGATAGTTAATAGTTAATGGATGTTAATGGGTTATAGTTAATAGTTAATGGGTTATCCATAGACTTAATCTGTAACCCCCAGATGCAGAAAAGTATAACTTATGTATAATTGATTATAATTGTCTACCACTATTCCATCAGGAAACTTTTTTTTGGGTGGTAGGGGGCCTATGATTTCTGTTTGACACATTTTTGACAACAGACTCTGACTTCTGACCAGACACATTGCTCAACTTCAGCACCAGCGGACTTCCACACAGCTGACTCAGGGGCAATGGTCAGAACTGTGCCCTGTGGGCCCGTGGGTCACTCGTGCATCGCAGGGGACGTGTTTCCTGCAACGGTCATATTTTTGTTCGATGCTGTTGGCTTTGTTTTCAGGGTAGCCGCTTGGAATTTACCAATTTGCTATGGATAAAAATAATTTCTATGTTTTACCTAAGAAAAATGGTGACTTTCTATGGCCATGTCAAAGCACCAGGGGCCAGCAGTGTGCATGTTTTGCAGGATCATTTAGAGTGTTTTTTTTACATGGTTTATCTTAAGTTACATGTAATTGATTTTGAATTGTATATTTCTAGATTTTCCAGGCGGTCATGTGTGAATGATGCTGGTTTCCAAGCAAGTAACTGCCACAGCGGATTCAATGCCGTGGTGTTTTGCAGTGACCCAGGTGACCAGCAAGCCACAATAGGCGAATATTGGCGACCCATGGGTTGCCACGGGAAGATTCCAAATTACAATGGGTTCACCTTTTTTCTCATCTAGACTTTACAGAATTTTAAACATCCAAGATTTGGGGCCAGCAAAGACTGCAAAGACACAGTAGTGGTTTGTGGGGAGATTTGAGGCTCCTTAAATCCAGTGATCAGCGCACTGAGGCGATGATTTTCGGCTTTCTTGGCACCTGCCTGGGCCTTTTTCTCTCGCCTTATTGCTCCTTCCGGTGCCAAAGGGCGGCAGCTTGGCGGAGCTAACGTGATCTAACGTGGCTGTGGGAAACTGAGCTGATCAAATGATCATACGGTATGACTCATGTTCTGGCCAGGTATGCTGATCACGTTCCTACTATCAAATAGGAAACTCCATTTAGCCAGTTTTGATCAGTACAATGTGGGGCCCCACAGTTATAAGTTGGTTACTTATAAGCCCCAGTAATTAACTATACAAGTTATAAGATGTTATAAGTGCCATAAACTAAAAGTTATTGGAGCTACACAAATAAACTTAGCTATCGTTTGGGGGCCCCACTTTGTATGATCATCCCGTTTGGTTTCATGGTTGTGCCGGGTGGTGATCATTCCAGTTAGCTTAGAATCATATCTGGATAGTGAAAAAATGTGGGAGCTACTACTGACTAATCATGACTAATCACTAGTAGTAGTTGGTATATGTTGGTATCTCTTTTTTTTAATCATGAAGACGTATTGTGTCTTAAGTGCAGATTTATGTGCAGGAGTTCCTTCTTCTGGTTCTTTGTTATTTCTTTTGTTCTGTGTTTCTCTTTTTAGTTCTTTCTGTTTTTCTTTGTTTCTTTCGTTCATGTGTTATTGTTTCTTCTTGTGTGTTCTCATTTGTTTTTTTTTTGCTTTCTTCCTTTTTGTTTGTGTTTTTCCCCTTCTGTTTCTGTTGTCCTTTCTTTGTGTGTTTTCTCACTTCTTTTCTTGCATATGAATGTTTGCATCCTTGTGTATCCTAATTTTATGATATACGCATGTCCCCTTCTCTTGTTTCCCCAATACATGTTTTCATTGTTTGTCATCCTTTGCTGAAACATGTTGAAACCTTTTTTTTCCAGGGCCATTTTTTGGGGGGGATTCCTCTCTCCTCGCCTCTGGACTGCTGCCTTTTTGCTTCTGCTTTTCGGCTTTTTTGCTTCCACGCTTCTCTGTTGTTTTGCTTCTCTGCTTTTTCGTCAATCTTTGCAGGTGCTATAAAACAGGCTGTGCAAGAGGGCTTAAGTGCGAGCCCAAGGAGAACCGAATTTGCAACAACATGCAACAACCCCACATCAATTCAGCCAGATGATGCCCAGTATGGCAATGTATCCCAGGCGGACCTGTGCTTCATCGACGCCGCCTGTATTCACCAGACTGATGCTGCCTTAATGCACCGCGGCATTCGGGGCATCGGATCCTTCCTATTGGTGTCAAAGGAGACGGTGGCAACCTGGGAAATTGACTCTAACAGTTGGGAATTTTGCGCATGCCAACTATGGCAATCTTCGGATTATATGTCACTATTGCAACATAGATATTATATATATATAGCCACTATGGCAATATGATTATAGTCACTATCCAACTATGGCATCACTATTAGTCACTGCTCATAAACTGCAAAAAACGGGATGTTGTCGCGAAATTTGACCGCTGAATAAGGATTTCAACCAGAATTTCACAAGGCAGAACTCGGGGGAAAGGAAGAAAAAACCGTGGTGTTGGCTACCAAAAAGCAGCGTTTGGTTCATGTTCCTAGGTTGATATGTTTTCAGTGTGATTTGAGCAATGAATTACGCAAACCCCACTAAAATTCAGTCGGATTTCGGACTTGCGGCTTTTTTGTGTTTTTTGGAGGGGTTCTGATCTACAGAGCCCCTTTTTGACCTAGATACAATGCCTGGTTGGTGGTTTGCAACATGTTTTTATTTTTCCATATATTGGGAATAATCATTCCAACTGACTAATACTTTTCAGAGGGGTTGAAACCACCAACCAGATGCCTAAAAATTTTGTAGCTCAAGGATACTAATATGGCGCTGTTTCGGAAGCGGATCTCAAAGATCAAAAAGGCGTGACCAGTCAGCCAGGCGTCAGCGCAAGTCACCACCGATGGAAACAGAACGGGCCAAATCTTGGATCTAACATGGTTGGGTAAAACAATGCCATAAATCACCCATGACTGGGAATGGTTTCTACCACCTTTTTCTGGCGATGACTGGGCGATGGTTAGTTTATGGCATTGTGATAAACCCACATTACCCAGTTACCCTGTCTAATCGACATAATTGACCGAAAGATTTGGCAAACAAATGATGGAAGCAATCAACTGAGCACAACTCAAGTCACGACGTTCCATTTCCATGCCATGCCACGAGCGCAGTGCTGTCACAGAGCGGTTCCCTTTTCTCTATGGTTCAGGGCATGGCTAAGCCAAACAAATAGATCCGTCAATATCCAACCACACAAAACCACCAAAACCGGTGTTCTGAAATTGATATAGTGTTTCACTTTATTTATGAGGCTGAAACGCTGAACCACTGCCTGATAGACACACACGCATATACATATTATATATATATATATATCATATAAATCTATGTATACATATTTATATCTGTTACATTGGACATGTTGTGGTTGTTGCCTAAACCGGGTCTGTAAACTGGTTAATCAACCAGGATGATGGATAATTAGCCCTAAACGGTGATACCTGGCGCAGGAGTTACGGATCTTGTGGAGCCCCGCTTACTTGCAGCGCCTGTGGTGTGCAACTCTGCATGCAAGTGCAAGATGAAGTTCATCAAAGGGCTAAGGTACTTCGTGGATTATCCCACTTAGCAAGTGATAGTATTGCAGTTTGGCATCTAAGATGTTTTGCCATCTAAGATGTTTTGCATCCAACCATGTGAACACGAGTGCAGTTTGCCATCTAAGATGTTATGCCTCTCAAAACTTATCAAAATCTATACCGACCAAGTTTCCCTCTACTCTCCATGCGCTTGGAAGTTGAGGAAGGATTGTATACGTGGCGCTACTGCTGTTTTGATTCCTGGAATAGCAGCTTGCGAGACCCTATCAGAGGCAACCAATGAACTGGATAATGACTCATGACCCTTTAAATGATGAATTCCCCTTTTGAAGTCTGACAGCTGGGAATTGTAAAGTCCATGTTTGTTTCACGTGTATAGACGACTCGTTTTTCCAGCGATTGTTGCGGCACTGCAGCTTGATTCGACCCGGGCGCGGCAGTGCGAGGTATTTGAATTGGCAACTTACAAGAAGATGAACATCTCTGGGAGGAGATAGCTCTAGTCGGTAAATGATTTAAATGGTACCCCACCCCTGGACTTGTCCAAAAGAGCCACATCATTGGGAAAAGATATGGAATAGATGGTATTTCCGTGCATTTGCAGTATGGCAGCTGATCAAAATTTCCAAGCGCTGCATAATTGCTGCTTTTGGCCCGCGCTGGGTTTATGAGAGAGAGAGAGACATGATCCAATGCTGTTTTTTTTCTCAAATGGGGTTGCAGCATCACACAACTATCAATCCCCATTTTGGATCAGTTTGATGGAGTTACCATTAGTTTCCTTTTTTTGTGGTTCAATCCCGATTACTTAAACACACCACATTGTACGGTTTGACTTCCTCTTTTTGCTGGGCCAGCAAAAAAGTGCAGCAACAACCGCAATAACTGGGTAGGATTTCTCTGGCGCCGCTGTTTGTGGAGAAGGCGGTGATGATGGGATATTTCGGTATCCTCTGCCTGGCCGCAGCGCTTTTCATACTCCGAGTGAATCGCAGCAGGACCATTTTCTCCGGCCTGCCGACACCTGGCGAAAGAGATAGGAATCCCATCCTCTCTGTTAAGAAGTAGCAGCAGCACTAAGTTCCAATATTTCGGTTTGGCATGAGATCCAAAAACACATGATTAATCACAACTGTTTTTGCCTGGAAACACAAAGAAGGGACCACAAGTCCAGCCCCAACAACCAACTGCTCTCCAAAAATAAAGGATGGATTTGACTCGTCACCAGGGATCCAAACTCCGTCAAAGCGGGTCAGGCGCATACTTTTGGGTGATAAAACAGTGCTCAGGCACACACTCCACTTCAGGAGCCCGTTTTTGCAGATAAGGAATGTACATGCAGGCTCTTATTTCAAATGGTCGCCTGAAATGCCATGAACGGTTTCCGTGTCCCTAAAAAGATGTGAATTACAGAAAACAAGTACATAATTAATATGAAACACTTATCATTTATCATCGAAGGAACTTTTGAAGTCAAACTTCCGACAATATGGGCAAATGGAAAAGCAGAGGTGGGAAGAGTCAGAGAAGAGAAAGGTGCGGAGCCACCTGGCGAGATGAGATATGAAAAATTGCACGGCGTTGTGGCGCGAAGCAGCTTTTAAGTCAAAATGTTAAGTTAAAAACACCTCATGCTCGGAGCACTTTTGGAAGTGGACCACATGTTCAAACAGTGCATGCGGCTGTTGCACGAAGCACATATCCAAGTGAAAATGTGAAAAACACAGGAACTTCGCAGCACTTTGGCATGTTAAGATGTCGAAAAAGTGCACGCCGTTGTGGCGCGAAGCAAATTTCGAAGTCAAAATGTGAAAAGCACAGCACGTTCGGACCACTTTAGGGCGTTCAACTGCGCCACACTACACTACAACAACAACAACAACGACAACGACAACAACAACAACAACAACAAGTACTACTACCACTACTACTGCTACTACTACTACTACTATTACTACTACTACTACTACTACGACTACTACTGCTACTGCTACTACTACTACTACTACTACTACCTACTACCTACTACTTACTACTTACTACTTACTACTTACTACTTACTACTTACAACTAGGTTCACGGCTCATATTTCGCCATGAGTCAAAATGACATTTCGGTGATGTGTATGTCGCACTCAAATCATCGCAATTACATTGGTTTCTACTTGTCGTGTGAGTTCAATGTTTGCAAAAGTGCAATTTTTCTCTTCTGCAAAATGCGAGTAAACTAGTCGGATCTTCCTAATTTTGTTACTAGGTGATCAGTTTTTAATAAGGAAATTTACACATAAGTTGTATCACTTTAAGCACTTGCACTACTTATAAGTCAACTTAGAAAACTTAGCAATCGATTATTTTTTCATTTAAGTGCTAAATTCCCTAAGCTTAACTTGCAAAACTTACAAGTTTTCCAAGTTTTTTTTGCTTCAGGAAGCATTATGTTTCGGTTTTTTTTAATCAGTGTCAAAAACAAAACCTTTCATGTTTCTCCCCAAAAAGCTTGAATTGGCTTGTGTGCGTTTCCATGAACCGCACGAAAAGGAATTTGATGATGCTGCAAGGCCACCTTTAAGAAAATTCATTGCTGATCCTATTATTTGTTTTAAAAAAGGACTCAATGAGCCGCTTCGGTGTGCAACCATGGCGTGCAGACGTGCAACCAACGTAGCATCCATAGCGTGCAGATGTGTCACCAACGTAGCAACCGTGGCGTGCAACCATGTCACCAATGTAGCAACCGTGGCGTGCAGACGTGCAACCAATGTAGCATCCGTAGCGTGCAGACATGTTACCAACGTAGCATCTGTAGCGTGACGTATTTTAAATTCCGTAAGAAGACACCCCACCCCAGACGTAGCCACGCATCCGAGAGAATACACGTCTATGCGGATGCAACAGCCCCCACCGCACCCCACCCCACCCCATCATAACCTCCAAAATGAAAAAAAAAATGCCTATTTTACCACGGCGAATTATGCGCCGTGGTCCTACTACTACTACTACTACTACTACTACTACTACTACTACTACTACTACTACTACTACTACTACTACTACTACTACTACCTACTACTTACTACTTACTACTTACTACTTACTACTTACTACTTACTACTTACTACTTACTACTTACTACTTGCTACTTGCTACTTGCTACTTACTACTTACTACTTACTACTTACTACTTACTACTTACTACTTACTACTTACTACTTACTACTTACTACTTACTACTTACTACCTACTACTACTACTACTACTACTACTACTACTACTACTACTACTGCTCCTGCTCCTGCTGCTGCTGCTGCTGCTGCTGCTGCTGCTGCTGCAACTGCTACTGCTACTGCTACTGCTACTACCACTTCTACCACTTCTACTACTTCTACTACTACTACCACTACTACTGCTACGACTGCTACTACTGCTACTACTGCTACTACTGCTACTACTGCTACTACTGCTACTACTGCTACTACTGTGCTACTAGCTACTAGCTACTACGACTACGACTACGTCTACGACTACGACTACGACTATATACTATACGACTGCGACTCCGACGACGACGACGACGATACGACGACGATACGATGACGACGACGACCACCACCACCACGACGACGACGATACGACGACGATACGATGACGACGACCACCACCACCACCACCACGACGACGACCACGACCACGACCACGGAGACTGCACGCTTTAAGATAGAAGACTTTACAGACTTAGCCTAGATATAAAGAAGTTAAAGAAGTTATGTTGGAAATTAACATGACTTATCAAAAATATAAAAAGAAGTTATGTTAAGTTTGATAGCTTATTTGTAAGTTTTTGGTAAGTTTCGATAACTCTTTCTAACTTTTTATAACTGTTTATCATTTTTAGAGGCTTTGCAATGTTGTTTTTTCATTGTTTCGGATAATGCTTAATAATAACTTGATACAGCGTATGTTGTTTTGAAAGTGCGTTGATACTTTTCTGAATATGTTTTGTTCATTTGTTTCATTACACTTGTTTCCCGTTTTTTTCATTTATTGAAGCAGCTGCTTATTATTATATAATTGCTTTGTTTCTGCAAGAAGTATCATATATGATATCATGTTTTCAATTTTTCCCTTTCAGGAACTTTCATATTTGATGTGAAATCTTTTCAGTTTTGTATTTTTCAGGAACCATCACATTTGATGCGATATCCTTTCAGATTTTTCCCATTTCACGAACTGGCGCATTTGATGTGAAATCTTTTCAGATTATGACTTTTCAGGAACTATCATACTTGATGCGGGTTCTGTTCAGAAGTTTTCCTTGTCAGTAGGGTAGTTCCTGCATAGTTCCTGCATAGTTCAGCCATAGTTCCTGCATACTTCCTGCATAGTTCAGCCATAGTTCTTGCATAGTTCCTGCATAGTTCAGCCATAGTTCCTGCATCGTTCCTGCATAGTTCAGCTATAGTTCCTGCATAGTTGCTGCATAGTTCAGCCATAGTTCCTGCATAGTTCCTGCATAGTTCAGCCATAGTTCCTGCATAGTCTTATAGTTTATAATGTAATGTTTTAAAGCTCATATCAGTAGATCCCAGAAAGAAAAAACTCCTCCATTTTTGTATATTTTCATTTTTTGTTCTAAGAAAAAAATAAGTAGTATCTTTTCAGACTGGATCCTTTTCAGGAACTGTCTTTTCAGACTTGATCCTTTAGAGGAACTGTCTTCAGAGACCATACCCTTTACAGGAAGTGCCTTTTTTCAAACCAGATCCTTTGCAGGAACTGTCCTTAGAAACCATATCCTTTGCAGAAACTGTCTTTGCAAACCTTATCCTTTGCAGGAACTGTCGTTGCAGACCGTATCCTTTACAGGAACTGTCGTTGCAGACCGTATCCTTTACAGGAACTACCTTTACAGATCAAATTCTTCACACACAGGAACTGTCTTTTCACACTTCAGCCATTAAACAAACTTATTCTTGGGAACCATAACCTTTCCGGGAAAGCATCTTTGCAACTTGCAACTATCTTTTTCCGAACAACATTACTCAAGCCATCTAAACATACAGCACAAATTCCATTTCGTAACTTTTTCTAACTTTTTATAACTTTCTGTAACTTATGATAACTTTGCCAAGAACTTATGTTAAGTCTCTTGACATAGTTATGAAAAGTCATCTTTAGATTCTAGATGAGATACTTCCGATAAGTTCGTTAAGAACTTATATCCGACCTAAACATTTACAACTTCACCTAGCCGGCTAGCTGAAGCTATAGCTTACTTGTAAAAAGTTATCCAACTTTACATAATTGCAAGCAGGTTATAAAGACGTTATAGAGGGTTTATAAGCACGTTATAATTCATACAAATTTGTAAACCCACATAACTTTAAGCGTACAGTCTCCGCACGACCACGACCACGACCACGACGACGACGACTACTACTACTACTACTAGTAGTACTACTACTACTACAACAACAACTACTACTACTACTACTAGTAGTAGCTACTACTACTAGCTACTACTACTAACTACTACTAGCTACTAGCTACTACTACTAACTACTACTAACTACTACTAGCTACTACTACTACTACTACTACTACTACTACTACTACTAACTACTACTACTACTAACTACTAACTACTAACTACTAACTACTAACTACTCACTACTAACTACTAACTACTCACTACTCACTACTCACTCCTCACTGCTAACTCTACTAACTCTACTAACTCTACTAACTCTACTAACTCTACTAACTCTACTAACTCTACTAACTCTACTAACTCTACTAACTCTACTAACTCTACTAACTACTAACTCTACTAACTACTAACTACTAACTCTACTAACTACTAACTCTACTAACTACTAACTCTACTAACTACTAACTACTAACTCTACTAACTACTACTAACTCTACTAACTACTAACTCTACTAACTAACTCTACTAACTACTAACTCTACTAACTACTAACTACTAACTCTACTAACTACTAACTCTACTAACTAACTCTACTAACTACTAACTCTACTAACTACTAACTCTACTAACTCTACTAACTACTAACTCTACTAACTCTACTAACTCCTAACTACTAACTCCTAACTACTAACTACTAACTACTAACTACTAACTACTAACTACTAACTACTAACTACTAACTACTAACTACGAACTACGAACTACTAACTACTAACTACTAACTACTAACTACTAGCTACTAACTACTAGCTACTAACTACTAACTACTAACTACTAACTACTAACTAGTAACTACTAACTACTAACTACTACCTA